TAAAATAAATAAAATTATAATAAAATATAATTTTTCATAACTAGAAAAAGATTAAGGAATTAAGAAATTTTATATCATTATGGTAACATTACTATTTCAGAATCTTTTATACTAATAAAAATAATAAAAACTAAAATAAAGAGACTCTAGCCTTTTATTATAAATTATATTTGTTATCTTTTTCTTATTAATTTTATTATTATTATTTTTTATAATATTATTATATTAAATTATAAATTTACTTCTTTCTGATTAGCTTTCATATATGATATTTAGTATTAGTTACTTTATCAAATAATTAAACTAAGTTGAGTAATAAAATTATATCAGAATTTTAATAATGGACTATTTACTGAAATTTTAGTTATATAATTTGAATTTGAAATAATATTACTAGCAAAGTTATGCAAAAGTATATTTTGAATAATATTAACTATCATCTAAATGATATTATCAGTTTTCTTTTCTTGTATGATTGGAATTTTTTGTTTTGACATTTATTTTGATTCTGATTACAAAATATTTTTATAGTTTTTGAGTTTTGAGATTCAGATATTGACATGATTGATACTTCAGATTATATTAGTGGAATTGAGTTATTATATAATTCTTAAAACTTTTTTTCCAGTTTCTCTCTCTTATTTTATTACTAGTTCTTTTCTTGTATATCATTTTTACAAAATCAAGAATTTTAGCTAAATTGTTATGGATAATTCCTTGTGATAAAGAAGTTATAGATATTTCAGTCTCTATTAAAGATTCAAATCATGTTAAGCTAATTTAGGCAAGAGATTGGGAATAATACCTTTCTTCTCATAAGAATAACTCTTGATAAGTGGTGAAATATCTTTTGTAGGAGATACTTTCTATTTATTAGTAATAATCTGGATCTATTTCTATTCCAATTTCATGATCCTATCTTTAAGCTTAGTAATTTTTTCTGTGATTTGTTCCAATTTGGCAATTCTAACTTTGAGCTCAGAATTTTTGGCTTCTTGCTTGGCTTTCTCTTTCATAACCTGTTATTAGTTTAATATTCCTTGCCTCAAGCTCAATCTTTTCAGCTTCAAGCTCAGAAATTCGTTGTCTCAATGAATCAATCTTGGATTGCATGTTTTAGTGATAGATTTTAAATCTTGTTAATTATTTAAAATATATAACAAAGTAACAAAAATTTCAGTGATGATCTGTTGTCAAAAAATTCCAATGAAAATTTACAAATTATTTACAAAATCAAGATTCCGATTACTTAGTCATTTCATTGTGTACAGAATTACATAAATTAATGATTAGATATTTACATTTATTAATTAAAAAATATTTGAATGAATCGTCTAAATCAATTTTCTGATAAACTGGTGAATCCAATAAAGAGAAACCGGGAGATGGAGAACTAGGAGGTTGGGAATCGGAAGATGGAGATTTAGGTAAGGGTTGATTTTTGTTACTTTCTTTCTTCTGTGGAGTATCATTCACTGAAGTTATGCAATTATCATTATTATTTTTCATAAAATTCGTGGTTGCTTTATTTATTACTCTAGCTGTTAACAAGACACCTGTCTATAAAAAAAATTATTATTTGTTTGATACACGTACCTGCCAATCCATCAAGCATATCATGTCTTTTGAAAACTGTTCGAAATTACCAAAGGTGGCAGGTATTTTGATGCGTCCAAATTGTTCTAGTATATATATTGTTGGCAGTGGCCGAACTATATACCTAATTTCAACAAATCCGTCTATAAAGAAACATATGTGAAAAAGTAATCTTGTACGATCTGATTTCCATTTATAATTACTTACTAAATGATTGCACTAAATATATGCGTGCACGCTCCTTGGATACCTTTCTTATTTGTACATTCAAAGTTCTCATAGCATTCCGACAAAGCTTAATCAAATCACCATCTTTTTTGGACATAGGCGTTTTTCTTCCACGTGAAAATTCGATAATAATAATAGCTTGATTTTTGCCCGTTATACTAATTACTTTATATAATCCATCGAATTTGATTCTTTGTATCTGGAGAAGTTTGTTCAATCCTTAGTTAAACAAAAAAAATAATTAGCAATATTAATAAATTTAAATTGATATCTACCAAGCAACATCCAACTCATCTTGGTACATCCTAAATATCCTATTTAAAATGTAAATTATTGTGTCTACGGCATAAGTTCTTTCTAGATCGAGGCCTTTGTACTCAACTTTCATAGGTGCTTCTAGACGTAAAGAACTATTTCGAAAAAATTAATAACAAAGAACTTGATATATATTAACTGTTAACGTGAAGGATACTTACAAATGAGTTAGTATATGCAGAGCGATATCATGCGCTTCGTGATAAGAAGAATCAAGCCTCCCTGAAATACAGGATTTGCGAACAATTGTTGGAATATTAGCTCTCGAGTACAGGTTTCTTCAGTGAATTGATTGATATATTCTGTAAATTCCGGAGTAGGTTTCCAAGATTTTTTCTGGAGGCCCCTTCAAGCCAAAAAATTTGATCCTTATTCAAGGACTTTTTAACCTGTTTATATATATCATCGTCTGATAAATCTATAATACTGTTGAGGTATATTGATGCCATAAAATCTTTCCCGGCTTCTTTGTCTTTTTTTTGACGTGCAGTAAGAATTTTGAGTAATTTGTTACGAACGTCCACCTCATCCTAGAAGATTAAATATAATCATTATCAGTTATATAAAAGCAATAAAAAGATTGCAAATAAATAAAATACCTGCTTAAGCTTCCTAATCTCTTCTTCACTCCGAACTATATCAATTGATCCAGTATCACTTTCCGAATCATCAATGACTTCCACAGATTCGGTTACACTTGAATATGGTGGTGGTGTAGTATGTCTATCGTCAGTGTCCTGGCGATTTCTCTTGAAAGATCTTTTCGCCTTGGAATCATCAACCTAGAAGTATCAAACGGAAAATAAATAGTTCTTCTAAATAACTTAATAATCAAAACCACAAATCCATACCTCTTCCTCCCCTCGTTTGTTAGAAGATCCGGTGAAATTTCCACAGGTTACATTTCCATTTACGCTCCCATCTATAGTTCCGTCATCCAGAAACGTCGGTTGGTAGTATTGAATTTGTTTTCCAGATCGTCCCTTTTCCCAGATGATAATCCAGTTGACTACCCTAGGATGGTAAGGCATAATTGTTTAACAGTGTTCTTAAATAATGTACCTTAATTCACCTCGATCCTGCCAAATCGACTTACAGCCTTTGAACAGCAGACACCCTTGCAGGTCATCCGTGTCCACCTGCATGCCATAACGCGCAACCTTGCAGGCCATCGTTACACTAACAACTCGTGGCTATTTTAATGATAAAGATTCTATACTTGCCTTCCGGTAATTATCAAGCAACACTTGTGCTTTTTCGCGCTTGCAATGTCCTTCATGTTTGACAAGAAACTCGAGATCCTTAATGTAATAGTTTATTTTCAGTTCGAACGGTTCTAAAGTACAATAATTCAGGTAATCTATGATATTCCATTTGGATGTCTTTCTTTCAAAATATTTGTTATAGGTTTTTCCGACATATGAAAAGGATTAAATGAAAAAAATACGTACCATTGATTATTACATATAACACGTATAATAAATCACACATATCACATGATAGGTTAATATATTGCTAGTAATTATAGTTAAAAATCGACATCAGCTCGTTAATTGGTTATTTATATTTTTCTTTTTCACTAATACCTCTCTTTATAAAATAAACGTGTCAGATCATGTGAAGGGAGATACAAGCTATTTTCAAAAATAAACGTTTGTTTGAATTTTTTCCGTTGCACATTGATCTTGCGATTTGATTGGTTTACCCCTTAAAAAAGCACATGATCCAACACATTTTTTTGCACGATGAAGGTGCGATGTAGCCACGATAAACTTGTATAATTTATGGGAATACAGATGCTGGAAGCGGTCAAAGCCGAACGGGCGGCGATCATCGATCTGTTCAGTGGCATCGAGCGCGCCGCGCACGATGCCTTTATGAATCTGTTTGATTCGGGTAAAAGCGTGTTTCAGAGACTGGGGGACATGCAGTGTATCTCAATTACACCGCAACTATTTGGCTGTCAATTTTTTTGTGATGTGGACTGCGCTTATTAATACCGAGTATCATCCTAAAATAATTAATCGAGTGAGTTGAACGGACTGACAAAATGACAGAGACTCTCAAGGATGAAGGAATGAACTGTGCAAACCGCTGCACATGCAGGTAAGCTACACGGGTGTGGAAACAACGCGATCGTCAACTATACATATGCAACCATACATGCTGATCGTTGATATAACAAACTATACCCATAGTAAGCTAACCCACTGAAACAACATGATCATCAATTGCATATGTATAGCCTACACGCTGATCACTGAACACACTTCACCCAAGCACTGCTGTGTCATGAATGTTAATTCTATCACTCACTTTTTGATATATAAATACATAATCAAAATCTAATTTACAAAATTGTGGGATTCTTTGGTCCGCCAATTAAATGATCGGGATGATAAATCAGCATTACGATAATTCAAGCCTGTACTATGATGATGTGGCATTATGATGTAATCATTAAATACTTTTTTTGTACATCTTTCTGCAAACCAATCAAATAACAAGATATAAGTAATTCCATGTATAATTTACCCAAAGTGAAAATTTCCCTGTTCGACCAATGTTAGGTGGTAAAAAATCACACCATTTTGACACTTCCCCGTATCTCAGAGCAGATGGTCCTATAGCCAAATGTTGGATAAAAACATCGGGTAAAGCGGTACGTGCTCAAGATTGACTTGAATCATATATCATAATTGTGGTTGTTGATGGATAATTGCAAGGTTTTGACGTGGGTTTTTTTCTGAGCCATTATAATAATGTATGCCGTATTTTGCGAAATATAAGTAACATATCCGGATTGGTTTTTTAACTTTTTTTGAACTTTAAAAAAATAGTGCCAAATATTTGTTTAGCTGTTTGTTGAAAATTAATTTTAATTGGTCATCGAAAGTTATTGAAATAAAATATGGGGATGTTGCTTATATTCTGCAAGATACGATATTGACAAGCAAAAGCGTGAATAATTTTGCCGAAAGTGATTGAAGGACTATGTTATAGGTATCCTCAAGTTATCCAAAAACAGACCAGAGGGGCTTTAGAAGAAGAAATTGAAAATGCCAATAATGATTCAAGGACGAAATTATAAAGAGGATCCAAAGTGTTATGTTAAGTGGCGCAAATTATTACGGGAAAAATGTTCATTTGAAAAAGTTGCTGTGATTGTGTTTATGGCACATATAGGAAGGTGAGAATGTATTTTAAATCAGAATTTGGGACTGTGGAATATTTTTTTATCTCTATTATTATTTTTTGTGTTTTTTATAGCTTTGTTCCAACCGAGTCTGCTTTTATCGGGCTTACAGACAAGATATTTACACGAGAGCCAACACGTGAAACTATCTCAAAGGTCGATTTTTTCAATTTTGGCCTCAAAAAAAATTTTTTTCTTGGATCATATTCAAAGAATTATATTTTTCGCTTAAATTCTAGATTCAAAGTGCATTCATGATCGATCTACAGCAAATATCAATTGCTTAGTTCTACGGAACGATCATTACTTATATTTGATGAATTTGAAAAGGGACTGAGTCGACTGGTACTTTTATATTGCTGATTTTTCTCTTGTTGCATAATTGATTTACAAAAAATAATATATAAGTGTTAAAAACGATGGCGCCGTATTATTTTGTGGAGTGATTGAACATTTAATCAATCGAGGGGCTAAAATGTCCCAAAGTGATTAAGATTTTTAAATAACACTTATGAATTGATTTGGTTTAAAAATATTTGAGAATAATTTAATGCCTTCTGATCTGCCTATTTCTTTTGCGACAATTGAAATAATCAAAAATGAGCAAGACGAAGAAATCTCATTCTTGTATCGGTAATTATTTCGATTTCTTTCATCGAAATTTAGACGTTATCGTATTTTATCAATTACATGATTGTATTTATAATGAAACAATTAGACTTGTTTCCAGGAAGAAGTACAGCATCTTGGGGTACTTATTGTGCTACCTTAGCTGGAGTTCCAGAGAACATAGTTCAACGAGGTAATTGTCACTGCTTGATTTAATTATAAAATTGTCTATAACAATCAATTGACCAAACATAAAAATAATTAGCATAACGTCTCTCGACTTTATTTGCACGTTACAAAATAATTCCGTCTCCATTCACAAGTGATCATGAAAAAAGGTTGTATGCCACATGTGAACTGGTCGTTAGCAAGTTTGTGCAATGGAATTTTTCTCGTGATTATGAAGTCTTTAAGGAAATGGAAATCGAGAGTGATGATATTAATAATAACAGTAATCGTAAATATGACGGCGGTAAAGAAAGTATGTATAGTGAAATTTGAGGCTTTTTTAAAATGGGTTTCACGTGAAGTTAATTTTTAAATTACTTAATGAAAAGTTTATAAATTTAATATAAAGTCACTAGCATTCCTTCATTATTCCACTAGAAGTCAAATTTATAAAAGAACCGTAAAAATTGAAAGTTACTCTATATTAGAGTTTTCAATTTTACTTATGAATTTTTCTACATATAAATAAAAAATGATAAAATATCTAGCAATAAAAATTTAGCCGAAGCAAGTATGAAATGCTATTTTTTTTGACCATGCGTATCAAGAAACCCGAATAAAACGTTAATTTTGGGAGTGGTATCTAATGCCTGTGCCGAAATCTTCAGATATCGTTAATTTGTGATTTTTAAAATATAATATAATATCTATAATAGTAAGTATCTATTTATATGTCTTCTATTAACTGTATCATTTATAAGATATAGCAAATTAATCAAAAACTCCAAGAAATATTATAATTAGAAATAGCTACTAATAAATTAAATGAAAAATATATAAATGAGCTGAAATGTAAATATATCAGATATAAGAAAGAAATCCAATCTCTCAATAAAGAATTAGAATAGCTCAAGAATACTCTGGAGAAGATTAGATGTGGGGAGGCAAAGGATATTGCAGGTAATTATAACTTGTGACTCTTTTATTTAAAATGTTATTTAACTATCTCACGAGGGATTCTAAACAAACTATTAATGCAAACGTTGCTTTTTATAGCTAAAAGCCGTAAACGTTAATTATCATTCAACAAATTCTATCACAATAATCTTACGCCTTTTCTGGTTCGAAGGACCTAACCATCAATCACGTTAACTGAAATTCACGGGTCTCAGTGGGTTAAAGGTAATTATATAAAGGCAATTTGTACACAATTATAAGCAATCATATAAATCAGAACTTTAAAGGCACACTTTATTTTACTTTTACGCAACTGTGCTTTTACATTTAGATCAGGAAAATTTATTGCATATTTTATAGGAGGAGTCCCACGAAAGAAAAATTATAAAACATGTTTACCTTTGACCAAATTACAAATAAAAAAACTGACTTATATTCTAGCTAAAAAATATCGTATGGTAACCTTATTTTTTATAAATTACTCTACAGTACAGCACAATGGAACGTCGACTTCTCAATAGTTTTGACAGGGCGTAGATTGATTTTCTGTTCACGTAATTATCTGAAATCAAAGAAGATAGAAAGTCGACAGACATTTTAAAAAAGCAATATCGGGAAATTAAATAGAGAAATCAGTAGCACGTTGAAAAAAAGAATTCATGAATACTTTGCCGGACCCTAACATCACTGAAGAGAAAATGGCCAATATCTCTTTCTTTGCTATATTGGACAAACAATTGTGAGATATTTTGTGGTGCCTGTGCTATGTAATCTTGGTTTTTTTATATATCACTAAATGAATTTACTTTCTTGTTCATTAATATTTTCAATAATCTTTTTCAGAAACATTTGAATGTGATCCATCAGTTTAACCCGATGTGTAGTGAATTATTCCATTTACCAATTCGATAATTGAGATGAGAAACATCAACGTCATCTCGGAAAAGAAGCCATCCTACGAACAACACAAAAAGAAAAAGAAAATAAAGGACAAAATGATGATGCAAAACATATAAAAGAACTTGAGATGCAACTTTCAAATGGAAAAAAAAGGAAAATCCTAAATCTATTCTAATCAAAAAACATTGTCTTCACTTTTACTATATTATGATTTTTCTCGTATAATTGTGGAATGACCGGATGATATTTTCTCAGGGAAATGAAAGAACAATGGGTCAAAATACAGTTAGTATCTTATACCACTGAGTCAAATAAGGCCTGATGAAATTGGATCAAATGCAT